GCCTATTGTTTCATTTATAGCATATTACCACAAATAATCAGGAAAATGCGTGACACTAGCATCACGTTGGTGTAAGTGCATAACAAAGACCCAAAACACTGCGGCCTGATCGACTTGCTTTCTCCGACATTTGAAAGCTATTCACGAAAAGTATTATTAGTTAATACGATTTCTTGCTTTAAAAGAAATCGTGGGTAATATGATTTCTTTTTGAACAACAGCCGAGACAGCAAGCTGAATTCTGAAGTAATTACACTACGAAAGATCAAATTTTCGTTCTAAAGCAGTTGCTGAAACGCACGCATGATGTCTGCTGTACCTGTCGGCTCTTTGCTTATAACGAAAAAGCATTCGATAGCATGGAGTTAAATACTGTACCACCATTTACTTTTACATTGAGGGACTGAACGAAACTATGTGAAATTTGTCAAAGAAACGAACAAAGACTGCCCGACGTTTCCTCACCCATTTCATACAAGAGTCGAGAAGCTTCCAAGTTTTCCACAGCCTGCCTAGACATGATGTACTGCAAGCAGGAAGTCGAGTAGTTAACCCAACAAACAATCAAAAGTAGCCATCTCCTAAAACCCAACAAAAATAGCCATCTCAAAAAATGCCTCCAAATGCTTCCGTCTTTCATAAAATTTAAAGGCAAGGTAGAAAACCATGAGAAGGAAAAAGAATAGAACGAAGTGGAAAAGGGGGAAGGGCAGTATTGAAATGTTTGTAATTGGTAAAAAATGTTTCAGCCCACTGAGTCGCATACATTTCTTGCCGTCACAAGTCGAGCAGAGAAGGATTTTTATTTCAACAATAAAAGCAGTAAGAGCGACAGAGGATCAAAAAGAATCAGCACATTTCCAAATAAATGTTATTTGTTTGCTCATTAATCAGCTGAAATGCGTTTTGTGTTTTGTTTAAAAAGAAATGTTTCAAAAACGCATGTCTATATATGATTTGTTTGCCTGGATAATTCTACTCCAAAATAGGAAAATTTTTAATTACATACAAAATATAAAACTAAAAAAACGTTCCCCCACATTTTCCCACAGTCTTCAGTTATAAACTATAAAACAGCAAAATAAATTTTGTTTTCCCGCAATCCGGCCCAAAAGCTTGAATCCAAAATCAACTTATGTTAATAAGTAATTACATTCGAAAACTTCGGACAGCAAATTTGCGTCCTACTCGAAATAAGGGTAAAAGAATTACATTCGAAATTTTGGGTAGTCAGAATTTGAAATCAGCTTTCTGATCTCACCTTGCCCTATTCTATGATCTCAGGCTCCAACAGAATCTGATTTATCACGCTCAAACAGATTTAAGAATCTGATTTACAGAATCTGATTCAAAAGAGCGTTTTAATCAAGCAAAACTGCTTGCTTTTCTTACTATTACATTCTTTCACTGCAAAACAATTTATCACAAGAATCTCATGATTGCATTAGTCTCCTCGGGAGCTATTTTATCTGTAATGAAATCTTGTCAACAATAACAATAACAACAACAATAGCAACGGAAGTGCATGGAAAAAAAGAAAAACCAGAAAAACCAATCGTAACAAATGCACAATGAATGATAAGTGATGAATTATTTTAGGAAAATGGAAAATGTCTGCTTTTTGTAGCTTCCTAAATTATCTCAAAAAAAAAAATGCATTTTCTAACAACGAAGACAGCACATAATAATTCATTGCTTTATATACAAAAAAATGGAAAAAAAAACGAGCTGAGGTGGTAAACTGCACTGAATAATGAGAATGATTGAAAAAAGAAAAAAAAAAAACAAAATCATTAATCCGCAGACACAATCTTGCCCGCGTTAACAATAGTTCTTCGAGCTGTTTCTTCCGCAGCTCGAAGCATTACAGCAAAAACTTTGTTGCTACCCAAATCCAACAGACATTCAATTATCTCATCCACATTCGGAAGCAGTTCCAGCTTTCGTTCATCAGAGAATTGATCTGAAAATCCCACTCTGTTTGGCTGGTCATTTGAGCGAACCCAAAAATCATAAGCGATGCAACTAAAATCTACAGTGCTTCTTTTTGTAAGCATTATTTTACTATAAAGCCGATCTATAATTTTAATTAGAAATTTCTAAACCGAATTTTTATCTGGAACTAATAAAAATCTAAGCCATGTGAGCAAAATCCACAGTCTGCTGGATGGCTTTTTTTATTTCAGTGCCCTACAAATTTAGCCACAATTCTCTGCATACCTCATGTTTTATACATAAAAAAGCTCCGAAGCCTTATACTTGTTGCATAATATGATAATCAGAAAAGGCTGCAAAGTGAGTGGCGACGGAAACAGTAGTGGATTAGAAAGTGTTTGTAGTATTTTGCGTGATCTAATGGAAGCCGAAGAAATAATGCAACATCCGTAACAAGGAGAAAATTCCATTGAGAAAGGCATATTGCGCTCTCAATTTGCTGATAATCGATGGAAGTGCAGTACTGCTAAGTCATATAAATTAGGTTTTACTTAACAGAAAACTAAGGTGACTGATAGAAAAAAGTTTCCTTGGAGAATCAAACTCATATGCTAGAAAATATAATTGCCAGACATGGCGCAGCGGCAAGTCCCATACTCTCGCGTAGAAAGTCAAGGGTACCAGTTCGCCATTAGAAGACAACCAATCCCTCTACGATTCGTCCATTCAAGTCGAAATTTTCGAAAAGTAGAAAAAAAATTTGTCCATCAAAGTCGAAACCGCCAAGCTAGGGAGTCGAAACCGCCATCAGCTTTCTTTTATACTACCTTTGAGGCAGGATGTCATCGACAAAGAAACTTCCTCCTTATCCGCTGTCTACGACAGAAGAATGTACTCAAAAGTGGTAGCAGCTGCCAACAACAACCATCATTGCTATCAATTCTGAATGTCTCTTGTAGGCAGTGGATAAGGGCGAAGTTTTTGGGCATAATTTTTTGAACTTTACAATAATTTTCCTCAATTAAAGGTCTAAAAGTTAGATGAAACAAGCAAAAAATACTCGTAGCAAATTGAATGTAATTTTCGTCCATGAACACCATTTTCAAGGACAAATCCAGGTCTTTTCTGTACCTGTTCACTAAACGCACTCTCCAAAGTATCACGGTTCACTAAACAAACTCTCCATCCTGTGCATCAGCGAAGAATTACAGGATGCAGAAAAGCCCTCCGAAATGAAATCGATTCTGCGACGAAAACAGGCCTGTGAGGCCTTTTTTTTCTAATTTTCAGAAAACTTGGAGCACGAAAAGAAGAAAATAGAAGTGAAAGTTTTCGTTGAAAGAAGTAAAAGCTTTCTTATTTCGTTAACGGACTGTGGAAAATTCAAAAAACAAAAAACAAAAAAAAAACGAACCGTAGGCAACGATTCTGTCCAACAGATTAACATAAACAGTTGGCCCGAGCAAATCGTCTTTTTTCACTTTTTTCCAATAGTCACTGTTGATTTTTACCGCTGTCAACCATATTTTGGTTCGAAGTGAGTGGATCAAGTTGTCCTGTCGCACTGGAGCTTTTTCGTCCATCAAAGTTGTTAAGGTCAACAAAGCACTGCAAAATAAATACGCATGAACGGCGACAGAATCCTAAATTTTAAAGAATATTCTTAAAGAATATTTTTTTAAGTTCTAAATTAGAATTTTCGCTAATTAGTTGTTTTTTCTTAGATAATTCTTTTTTCTTAGATAATTCCTAAATCTGAATTGTTTTTATTCTCAAATTTAAATTAAAAAAAATTAATAAAGAATTCTAAATCTTCAAGAATATTTTTTATGTGCCATCACCAACTGACAAACACGTTGGAACCTCGCAGTGTAATTTTCACACATAACATACACAAATACCAAAACCGCCCAGACATC